ATAAGGAAATTGAAGAAAAGAGGTACTCGATGGACTATTATGCCGACGTCTTTTCACGCAGCTCACTTGAAGGATCAGAGAGATGCTTCATATAAGTTGGCTAATGGAAAAGCTAAATTTTATCCTGCGTGGTGGGAGGTCGATAAGGTTAGTATTTATTTTTTGAATATTTTAAGGGTTTTCATAAATTTTATTTGATGTGCACAATTATTTATGATTGCAGGTGTTTATCCCTATTTTGGAACATCGTCATTGGCTTCTCGTCGAGCTTCAGCTCCCATCCCTGAAGACAATGGTATATGGCAGCATGTTGAATTACATACCATTGTCTGATTTGAGAGATATTATTACAAAGGGATGGAGCGATCATTTGGCTAAATACTTGAATGCGATTGATTATTGGACAAATTCTGGAAACAAGAAGCCAAAGAAGTTCAAAATTACAATGATCAGAGACGAGACTGCGCCACAACAAACGCAGGGAGCCAGAGGGGATTGTCGTCCTCTCGTATGCTTGTGCTTGGAACGTTTGATGACAGGAAGTATACAGTATCTACCTCCCACAGATAGAGATAGAGCTGCAGTAGGCTTGTGGTTTCGGTATTATATGGTCAGATCGATATATGCGAGACGCTGCCTACCTGCATCCGCGTGCTGAAAGTTGTACATAAACAATTGGTAAGTTTGAGCAAGTGTTGTTAACATATATACTCTTTAATTGGTTTGAAAATATTTGATTAAGTACCTAGAGTAATTTGTTGTTTGTTGGTTTTAGATGTGTAGAAAGTGTTGTTTGAGCAAATGTTTGGTTTCTGCAGGTTAATCCTGAAGTGAGCTGCGTGAAATGTATTTGTGCATAAACAACAGTCTGGGGTACACTTTTTTCTTTGTTTAATTGAATTTTACATTGTAACTTGATTTGTTTAATTGATGAGGAAATAAGATTTATTTTTTGATTAATTAATTTGTAAAAGTTGATTTGTAAAAGTTGATTTGTTTAATTTGATTTGTAAATAAGAATTATTTTTTTGCTTGTTTAATTGATTTGTAAAAGTTGATTTGTTGTTTCTAAAAAATCCAATATGCATTATGTTTGAAGGTAAAAAATACATGTTGAAGGTACAAATTCGCAACGCGATTTTTGGTTTGCGAATTTGACTTTCGCGTTGATCGCAACTACAACATCAAGGTATATACAAAATCAAACATATTCCAAGCTATAAATACAAGCTAAAGACACTTGAAGAAGCAAGAGAACAACTATCCAAAAAATAAAACACAAGAGAAAATCCCAACATGATAACAACTGAACAGATCATATCAATGTTCAAACTCAAGTTACTAATGAATGTATAACTGAAAATGTATGCATTCATACATAAAATACACATAATACAACGTTTGCATTTAAAAATCACCTAAGTTAATAAGTCCCAAAAGGTGAAGTCGGTTGTGATTGGGATTTTGATTTTGATTGCGATTTTGATTTCCTTTTGCTTGGTACCATATGAGCTTTGGATTTTGATAAGGATCCATTTTTTGGTAGAGGAAAAGATGATTGTGATGGCACTGGTGATCCACAGGCCAACCTTGCATGACCACTTTCCTTGCACCGACTACATGTCGATATCCTCTTCTCTTCACCCTTAGACGGTATACGATCGTGATTTTTTGGTCGGCCAGGTAGCTTGCTATCCATGACTGGTGGCAAAACTGTTTGTAAGTCATCTGGTATGTCCCACTCAGAAGGATGTGGACATGGGTAAACAATCTCGGCATAAGTATGTCGATATACTTCTATAGTGTAGCAATCCATAGCGTATGCGCTTGAATCATCTTGGTTTAGATGAAGAGCAACATTTATAACATGGCCACACGAATAACCAGATGTTTGTTATTTCTTACAACTACACGTCTTTGCATTTAGATCGACAAGCCCATTTAAGTTATTATCCAATACTTCAAACAAAATGTTTGAACATGGTTCAACTCTTCAGGACGTTGACTTCACAATACGTTTCGTTATCTTTTTTTCAGTCCATGGTGTAACACGACGTTCCAATGTTCCTGTAAATTTAAATAAATAATACTTAGTAAAATATATGATAAGTTACGAATTTAAAGAAATAATACCTACATGGTTTCTTTTCTTGTAGTACCACTGTTGAATAGAGGCTCGAAAAAACTCTATTAACATAGTAATGGGTAATTTCCGGGAATGACGACTTAGAGCGTTGATTGATTCTGCACTATTAAACGTCATGAAACCATATCTTGCTCCAAGTTGATGTACTATTGACCATCTTTCAAACCCGACATCTTCTAGTGTTTGAGCACATTGAGGCAAAACACGTCTTAAACAATTTATATACTTATTAAAATCCACTTCCCGATAAGCTTTTACAGCCTTCCAGTATGTACATTTGTGATTTTTTATACCAGCAGACCTTGATTTTAGATTTCTGTACAAATGAACACCACAAAGTCCATGAAAAGCATCTGGGAAATACCTTCTAACAGCGTTGTCAATTGAGTTTTCCCTATCGGATATGATTGTCAAATTGCTAATAGGACCTATGCAATCTCTAAGATGCCCTATAAACCATATCCATGAATCAGAGGTTTCAGATTTGCCAACCCCGTAAGCTATTGGCAGTATCTCATTGTTAGCATCCATGGCTACTGCTAATAAATTTACTCCAAGGTATCGACCTTTCAAATATGCTCCATCAACTATAATAACTGGGCGCATGCAAGTAATAAACGAACGAATCTACAAAATCATATACATAAGAAATATAATCATTTAAATGTGAAATGCATGCAACTAACAAAAATGAGTCAACAAAATTATAATTATTTATTAACCGCAGCACCAATGGCGATAAACAGGAACTCAAAGCGTCCATCTCTATCTATTTTGATATGAGTTACCGACCCAGGATTTTTCAGCTTTAAATTGTGACAATAAGCCGGCAGTTGGGCAAATAATTCTTCTGGCGACCCCCTCAACAATTCCAAGGCATAACATTTGGCTCTCCAAGCTTGAGAATATGAGATACTAATCTTGAACCGAGCATTCATGTCAGTCATAATTTCATGTCCCCGATATACCATACCATTCAAAAACATTAACTCAGCCAAAAAACCACCCAACACCTTTTTGTTTGCCTGTCTATGGTGAGGAAAAACTTGGGTTCTTGAACATGTATGTTTATCAATAAAAGTCCTAACTTGAAACATTTCGCAATCTTTTATCCTCTTTGCAATCATACGCCACGTACAGTTTTTATCAATCATACACCTTGTTTCGAAACGATCTTTGCTTGATTTGTTAACTCTTAGTTGATAGCCATCTTCCACACATTTCGTATACAAAGCTATCTTCAAGTCTTCATTTGTATCAAAACAATCATCTTTCTTGATACGAATAACTTTTGTGTAACAACCAACTGATATCTTTACCAACTCTTCTTCCGGTATCTGAAGTAATTCTGGCATATTCCAGTTATACTCCCGTGACATTTTCTTCTTTTTCCTTTCTTCGGGGACTTCTTCTTCTTCTTTTTCTTCTTCAGGGTTATATGAATTACAGAATGGATGTTCAACATGTTCATTCACATTCGTAACTTCCTCCTCATTATCATCAACAACATCTTCCTCTGCAGCGGCTGTTTCATCATCAAAATTCAGGTATTGACCAATATCAAAATCATTACATGTAGGGTTTGTTTCTTCTTCCATCACATCATCAAAATCTGAGTATTGACCAAGATCAAAGTTCGGGTATTGACCAAGATCAAATTTTGAATACTGACTAGTACTCACAATTTTTTCTGTTGGCTCATAATCGTCTAACTGGTCAATACGAAAACCGGAATTTGGTGCTGAAAGTTGATTGGGATTTGCATTAGGAAAAGGTTGTGGGTTTTGAGATTGTGTTTGATATTGTGTTTGGTATTGAAAATGTGGTGAAACAAAATTTGCTTGGTGATGAAATTGTGGTGGAACCATTAAAATTTGGGTTGAAGAACTTAGTTGATTACTACCTGCTACTGACCCAACTTCACTACTTCTAGGTTCAACAACATACAATGTAACATCTTCTTCTTGCGAAACACTAACGTAAGCAATGAATCGTTCAACATCTTAATTGTCGGTTAACAAATAAATTTTACCGTTTCTCATATAAGATAACCTAAATCCACTTAGAGGCTCTAAATTCAATTTCTTTGCAACATGTAACATTAGAGTTTCATAAGTTAACTTTTTTAATGACAGATTTAGTTGAAGATTCATAGGTAAAGACACATATTGTAAAACACCATGAACATTCTCTCATGACCCTCCAAAACACAAATCTATCCAAACATGATCAACATTAGATGATTTCATTCTAAAAATTATAAATTAATTTACTAAACAAATGAGCTATAAACTAGATATCATCACTAATTTAGAGAAAAACATACCTTTATTAAGTTGATAGTTGATAATTTGAGAGAGAAATCATTGAAAATTATATAAAAATAAAATTATGTAAAAAAAATAGAGATGGGGAAGGATGTCGTTGGATATAGGAACGGATGTCGTCGGAGAGAGTGATAGATGAAGATAGAATGAGTTGCGATTTAGGGATTTAGGTTATGAGTTGTTGATGTTGCATTGTTATATACTCAAAACATTTGTGTTAAGAAACTAAAACCTGTTGCGAAATTAAATTCGCTTTGCGAATTTGAAATTCAGTTGCGAATTTGACTTTCGCGTTTCGAAATTGGAAACTGGGTTACGAAATTTGAGATCGCGTTGCGAATTTATTGATCATTTTGACAAATCCAAAAAAAATTTACTTAAATTCGTATATTATAAGATATTTTTAGTCACTGAAATTATTTTATCTTTTATAAAATGTAAAATCTTTGAAGGTTAAAACAAATTTAACAATAACGTCGATAAAAATCTCCAATTGGGTGAACGCTGGCCATTGTTTAGCTCCTCTCGTGTCCTCTCCCACACTAAAACCCTAATCAAACCCTCAAAAGAGTCATCAAACAAGATGTCTTGTATTCGTCTCAGCCAACTCCGTCGCTTTTCGACCACCACCAATGCAGTCGCCGCCGTTCACTTGTCCTCCATTTCAGTTTCTCAAGCCAAAAACAAACTACGCACCGAATACGACCCTGACAAAGCCCTCGAAATCTACTCTTCCGTTTCCAAAAACTACTCTTCCCCTGCTTCTTCCCGCTACGCTCAAGACCTCACCGTCCGCCGCCTCGCCAATTCCCGCCGTTTCTCCGAGATCGAATCCTTTCTCGAGTCGCACAAAACCGACCCCAAGATTTCTCAGGAGCCTTTCCACTCTACTCTCATCAGGTCTTATGGGATCGCTGGCATGTTAGATCATGCCATCAAAACTTTCCATCAAATGGATCAATTTGGTACCCCAAGATCAACAATTTCTTTCAACACCTTGCTCTCGGCCTGTAATCACTCAAAGCAGTTTGATAAAGTCCCCCAACTGTTCGACGAAATTCCCAAGAAATACAATGGTGTTTCACCAGACAAGGTTTCCTATGGGATTTTAATTAAAGCTTATTGCGAAGCGGGTCATCCTGATAAAGGGCTCGAGGTTTTAAGAGAAATGGAAAGGAAAAGCGTTGAGGTAACTACAGTTACCTTTACAACAATTTTAAATGGTTTGTACAAGAAGGGAAAAACTAAAGAAGCTGAGAAGTTATGGATGGAGATGATGAAGACTGGTTGTGAATTAGATGTTGCTGCCTACAACGTTCGGATTTCGAACTTTCAAGACGGGGATCCGGAGAAAATGAAGGAACTGATTGATGAAATGAGCAGCCTGGGTTTGAAACCGGATACCATCAGTCATAATTATCTAATGACTTGTTATTTTAAGAGAGGCATGTTAGATGAAGCTAAGAAGGTTTATGAAAGATTGGAAAGTAATGGGTGCAACCCTAATGCGGCTACCTTTAGGACTATGGTGTTTTATTTGTGCTTAAATGGGTTGTATGAGCAAGGTTATAGGGTGCTCAAAGAGAGTGTAAGGTTAAATAAGATTCCAGATTTTAACACATTGAAGCCTTTGGCGGAGGGACTGGTGAAGAAAAAGAAGATCAAGGACGCAAAAGGGTTAATCAGGACGGTAAAGAAGAATTTTCCTCCGAACTTCTTGAATGCCTGGACCAAGCTCGAGAAAGAACTTCGTTTGGTTTCTTGTAGTGATGCTAATGCTGAAGTTCAAGAGGCCAAAGAATCTACGGGTTAGAAGTGTGATTGTAGCTGTTATTTGCTGGTGGTTTATTTATATGCTAATTTCAGGTAAAACAACCATAAAAGAAACTTGTATGGAGATAGTTTTGCAAATGCCAAATCTGCTTTATTTTCAAGGATTGATTGATGTTACATTTTCTGCTATTTGTTGTTCTTGTTTTGGAATGAGAAGGAAAGTCTTAATAATCGAATTTTCTGCTGAAACTAGTTACTATCTTTGTTTCCTTCATGACATTGAACATTGTTCTATCCCTGTTGATACCCATTTATAGTTTCTAGTTTCTACCACAAAAGATGAAACCAATTAAAGGCTGATTTTTTATGTTAGCTACTTACCTGTGTTGGATTCATGTACCTCTTTATGGATTTAGAGGGCTGTAGGATTCATGTTACCTGTCCTCAAGATATGACTCGAATTCTGAATTGGTCTGTATCTGCTTGAGTCTTTGAAGTATCACCATCATATTAATTTACTCTATCAACCTGGCCATTAGGTTGGACATTGAATGTCCATTCGAATAAGATGTGGGGTATATTTAAAATATAAGTCAACTTATAAACACACGCATACATACGGCAAGGACAATTTGGATCTAACATTTTAAGAAGAAAAAAAGAAATGATCTATTAATGTGATATGTAAATATATGTTTACAATTTGATCCACATACTTTAAACGTAGCTCACTTCATATCTGATTAAACCTTTAGATTAACAATTAAATTGATGAAAGGGCCTGATTGATTCTCTAAGAATTTAATTAGAGTGTTTTAAAGTTTGGACACCAGTTTAGTATCTTAAAAAAGCTTGCGGTTTTATTCTGCAATAATCCCTTTAATTAATTAAGTGAATGGAAAATTTTCAAGCCATCCATTAATAATTGACGAACCAAATCTGCTCCAATATTATATAAATCATTCCCACACAATTCCTACAAGCAAGGAGAGCCCATAAGATGAATCCCTCGCCCATTCATTTTCCCCACGTACGTCCCGATTTTCACTCTCAACAAACAAGATCCTGAAGAAGAAAGGAAGGGCACTCGGTGTGTCCATCACTTGAATTCCCTCTTGCTCTGCATCTCTAACCAAATCACTGATATATGTATATATTCATTATCTGTCTTGTTTTCTTTTTCTTCTTTTACATCTGTTAAATGTGGAAACTTTGTCCTAACATCGACAAAGAAGATGGCCTCGAGACAGTTCTCGAGGTCCCGGTGCCAGAAGGAATGTTCACCGGCATGGGAAACAATCTTCAAGCCCGATTGGAAAACATGTTAACATGGATGAAAGCTCAAGCATCCGATAAGTGGTCTCAGCCGACGCTTGCGGGTCAGATTAGCGAGCTGCGGTTCCTTCTTTACCTTGTCGGATCCCCTCTTATCCCTCTACAGGTGCAATTGGGCCACTCTGTTCACAAACCTGTCAAGGATTGCTCCATTGTAAACTCTTCTCAGAAACACTCTCATGTTTGAATCTATATTTCCTTTCTTGAATTCAGCCTCACGTCGATTAAACCTTGAATTGTGCAGCAAGCTTCAACAGCAAAATACATAGTGCAGCAGTACATAGCTGCAATAGGCGGACAACAAGCATTAAACGCAGTGAACAGCATGTGCGTAACCGGTCAGGTGAAAATCACGGCATCGGAGTTTCAGCAAGGCAATGTAAATGTTAAAGTGAAAAGTACAGAAGAAATAGGCGGATTCGTGCTCTGGAAAAAAGACCCAGATTTATGGTGTTGGAACTTATAATTTCAGGTTGCAAGGTTGTTTCTGGAAGCAATGGCAAACTTTCCTGGAGGCATTCCTCTAATCAAAACACTCCCATTTCAAGAGGTCCTCCTAGACCCTTACGCAGCTTTCTTCAGGTACCTCAATTTTTTCTCGAAAAAATCATATCCGATAACATAAAATCGAGCTCATTTGATTCTTGGTATCTTTTTAAGTAGGGGTTGGATCCAAGATCAACGGCCAATTTGTTTATAGATGCCACATGCATAGGTGAGAAGATTATAAGCAATGAAGACTGCTTTATCCTGAAGCTCGAGACGAGTGCAGCCATCCGTGAGGCCCAAAGCGGACCGAACTATGAGATAATCAACCATACAATCTGGGGTTAGTTTAGCCAGTGATCGGGTCTCATGATTCAATTCGAGGATTCCAGACTATTGATGATGAAGAACAAGGATGACAACGACGTGTTCTAGGAGACGAGGACGGAATCGGTAATGGATGAGTATAAAGCAACCGATGGCGTTAACATCGCACATTCTGGGAAAACAAGCGTCACGGTGTTTAGGTACGGCGAGCAATCGGCTAACCACAAGCGGCAAATCGAAGAGAAATGGAAGATCGAAGATGTTGATTTCAACGTTTGGGGTTTGAGGAAGGAAGATTTTCTTCCGCCATCTGATCTGCAAACGAGTTGAAAGAAAGAATTTCATATATAGTTTAGAAGCGTAAGAAGAAGAGAAATTTACATCTTTCTTTTCACTTTTTTGGTTTTCAAGATGACAAAAGAAAAACAATGGTCAATGGCTTTGGCCTTTACACGATAGAATTTCATTTTAATATAAAAGAAATTTTTGAAGCAGCTTCTTCTTAATCTTATTTTCAGTTGTATTTCAAGTCCAGTTTTCATTCCATTTGTATTAGCGAGATAACTTGATTCAAATCATAATATTTCTAATCCTATAAATTTCCAAAACTGTCAACTCATATAAAATAATGCATTTATTTAAAAATAATAATATAGTTGCTACTTATATTATATATATAATTGTTAAAAACTATATATATAAAATAATTATTAATTTAAATAAATTAAAATATTTAATTTTGATAAATCTAGGGCGAATACAATATAATGTATGTTTAAAGATTTTCAATCTTTTAACAATGAACAATAATGGAGTTAGTTCAAGTGATAAACACTTTGATATTATTTAAGCAAGTCTCAAGTTCAAGTCATTTAATATAAAAAAAATTGGATAAACTACACGGGTGACTACTTAACTATGGTCAAAAATCATTTGACTACCGATGTTTCAATTTGATCAAACAGATCACCCAACTACAATCAAGCCACCGGCTATTAACTTTAACAGCGGAGGTGACGTGGTAGTTAAAATTTAATCGAGAGAATGACTCCTCAGTTAAATTTTTGACATAACTATATATTTGGTCCTTGTTAGTTACACTAGATGTCAATTTGATCCTAATTTTAATTAAATTTAATAAATTTAATCTTCTAATTAAATTGTAACACGTGTTAATCTCTAATTAAAAGACTAAATTTATTTTCCTTCAATGGTGATACATGTCATCCTCCTAGAAGAAAATAAACACATGCTAAAAAGGTAGATAAGGAGAATTAAACCCAAGACCATTAACAACAACAGCCAATCCACTAAGTGGAGATGCACATAGTCGGATTTAAATCTAATCCAGATCGGATAAAAATCGATATGGTTTTTGCATTAAGCCAAAAAATCGGTTTATAAAAAAATTGGTTCGGATTATAACCGGTTTGGAGGGCCGGATGATGTAACCGGTATAATCGGTTTCGGTTTGAAAAAAATCGGTTTTTTTAAAAAACCAGTTTTTAATCCGGTAAAAAATCCGGTCATCCAATTTTTTAAACCTCAGACCGGATTTTTAAACCCCAGACCGGATTTTTTTCCGGATAAAAAACCATATTTTTATCTGGTTTTTTTCAAACCGGTTTTTAATCCGGTAAAAAATCCGATCGTCCAATTTTTTCCCAAACCGGTTATACTATCCGGTTTTAAAATATCCGATCCGGTTTAAAAAAACCGGTTTTTCCCAAATCCGGTTTCGAATTTTTTTTCCGTAAAATCGGATATTCGAATTTTTTGTGCACCTCTACCACTAAGCCAAGAAATCAATTTGTTTTATAGTGGATAACAAATGTATATATCTTGTATTATAGTAAGTAAATGTTTTACTCAAAACTAATGACATTTTATATATCTTAAATATATCTTTTATTTTTGTTTTAACTATTAAATTTTTTTATTTTAATGTAAAAATTATATGTTTTATTTTTATCATCACTTAAAAATTTATTATTTAAAATATTTTAAAAATATTTGAGTTAACGGCTAAATTTAACGATTCGTCACGGACTGACCCAATTTAAGCTACGGAATGAAAAGTTGGGCACCAAGTTGGAACAAAATAAACGTTAGGCACTAAACTGAAAAAACGAACATACATTATGTACATTTTGTATATTTAAGCCAAAAATAAAAAAGAGTATTTTTATTTCCTTTTAATTATATTTTATTTTTAAAGAAATTTAAGTTCTTATATTTTATTTTCTTAGGTTCGAATTTCATCTCAGATTGTTATTTCGGATAACAATCTTAAGGAAAAATTTCTCATTCTTCGACCTTTCTTAATCCGAGATGAATTGAAAGTTGTGAGAAAATTGAGAAAGCAAATAAATTTGTTTCATGATTTATCCTGTCGTTTTAACGAGTTTTCTAAAATCTCAAAAAATCTGTGAAACATAAATTGTCATGAAAGTAATTGTAGTTACTTATTTTATTTTAGAATATTAATTTTGTTCGATAACAAAATAAAAAACTAACGAGAATTAATTTTCTATTAATCGAAATTTTTTATTTCGTATATGAAATCAATTGGGATCATAATTTTGTCGTCTAACAAAATTATTTGATTACTATTACTAATAAAAAATAGTTGGAAAGTACCAAGTTTGTTACTGATTTGTTTTAGAATTTTAGTTCATGACTAAATTTTGTTGATTGAATAAATCAAAATTTAATTTTGATTTATTGTTGGAATTATTAATAACTCTAATTTTGCGTTAAACGAAATAATGGCTAATATCAGTGATTCACCTAATTTTGTTTTAGTATCAACAATGTTGATGGTTGTAAGTCACAATAAGAAACTTATAAAATTTTATAAATAGAATTTCAAGATATGACAACTTAAGATATTTTATTTGGTCATGTTGAATTTGATCAAATATCGAATGATCCTCCAATTATTAGAAATGATGAGGTAAACATTGTTATCACATTAAAAAATGTGTAAGCATTAATCATGGTCTTTTAATAT